GAGAAGGGGACTGAGGAAATTGATCTGAAATACACTCCTTCTGAAAGTGACCCACTCTGTTTGAGCTCTAGTTTGACCAGATGTAATGGTGAAATGAGTCCGCCAGAGTGGTAAAGATGTTTAAGGGTTCTCACTATTTTGTCGGGTACCGCAAGGCATCTGAGCAAATGCAAGATGAGCTCATGCGATGTTGTATCAAATGCCTTGTGGTAATTGATCCAGGCCATAGAGAGGTTACTCTCATTCTGTATAGATTCCTGTGTTACACATCTATCGATGAGCAGGTTCTCTTTACATCCAGCGACTCCTATCTTCGACCCTCTCTGGTCAACTATGGTGAGTATTCGTGTGTATGTGATGCTCGAGAACAAATTATAAAATGTATTTGAGCATGTTATCGGTCTGTAAATCTCAGGAATCGACAAATGTTCGCTTTTGGGGATGAGAACGGTCTTCCCATCGACAAACCAAGCCGGAATTAGCTGCTCTTCACTCAGTCATGAGTCAAAAACTCCGGCCAGATGACGGTGAGTGTTTGGTAGTTTTTCCGCCAATAAGTGTTCAGTCTATCTAGGCCTGGAGCAGTAAACTTCCTGGAACTCACCAGGGCTCTTTGAACGTCATCCGAGGTTATTGGGTTGCGCAGTTCATTGAGCTCAGGCCGTAGAAGCTCTCTGCTGAAAGCTTCGAACTACGCTAGAGCTGGAGTGTATAAGTTGAGTGGCTGCGGGTGTTCATAGATGTTCTTCCAGAAGGATTCTACCTGATCAGTGGTCGGCGGATTAACCACAACAGGTGGAATAAGCGAGAAGGTTTCTCGCGGAACCTGAAGTTTTCCGCGATACCTCTTGCTCGCCCCACTAGTGACTTCTCAGCAGCCACTAGCATTTGTATCCCATCAAGGCAGTGCTGTTTGGTGGTCAGCAGCACGCCTGCGTGATGGATACGTTATAGTTTGGAGGCTATTCGCCGCACTGCGGGCGTGAAAGGCCTGTTGGCTGCTTTGTGATCCATCCTGTATTATTATCTTCGACATTGTGGGTTAATACCATCATCACTCTTTTTATGAATTGACTAATGGTTCGTACCTAACTGGCACAATATTGGCATACTAACAAAATCTCAAAGTTGCCGATAACTGTAGTATTTGACGGCCCACTATCGGCAAAAACTATACGGCAATATGCCCTTTAGACGACCGATGCTTCGGCTAACTGCGGGCTTTGTCGGGCCGGCCGGTTGGCCAGCCGGTCGTTGAGGTACAATTTGCTGGGTAGGCACTGCATTTAGAAGAAAACTTGAAACTTGAACTTGAATATTTTCATTGCCTGTACGAAGTTTCAATAAAACTTCCCAACAAAAATTTTGTATAGTCACATCATGAAACATTTCTAAATTATGATATACTCGTATATTTGACTCGATTAGAATTTGACGTTCCACCACTCAACATCTGTGCACACTTCAGGTACTCACTTATCTGTAAGCTGGAAAATACTTTTCACGTTTTTGCAGACGCTTCAGGCGAGATACAAATCAAAATTTCCCGAACTATAATACGTGACAGACCGCTGAGATAGCCGTGAACGAAGATTACGGTTGCGATCGTTCACTTACACGATGTAGACGTTGACTGGAGATATTTTTGAAAGTCGCGAACCGAGTAATAAGTTTATTTCCAGTTTTGCCTATCTCACGCATGCTCCGCTACAGGGTGTTTTTATTTTTCGAGACTTTAGTCACTCACTGCCTTATAAAGAAACACTAGCTGAGAAACGAAATTGATTCCCACTGGATGGATTTAATACACAGTGCATTTATTTAATATCTCCCCCTTTTAGTTTTTTAACGGGTCAACTTAAAACATTGAAATTTGGCATAATGAAATGAATGCATGAATACTATGAAAAGAAAATTAAATGGAAAGGGGACCTTGTGACTTGTTATTTTGAAGCTCCTGAAGAATAATTCACAACCCCATAAAGTGAAGTCAATATCTTTACCTTTTACAAAATGGTGGAACATTCAATAATTTCCTGAAAACGAACACATTAATATCGATATTTCTAAGGATAGTTCTTTTTATTTGCCACATGGCAATTCCAACAACCCGATAAGGTTTGTAAAGTTAGTTTTTGTTTATAAAAACGACAAAAAATATCAGTACGACAATGAACATCATTGTTCGGTTAGAATATTCTCATTTNGACGATTATCTAGGGGGATTCGCTTAATCTGACAAGAACAATATTTTTTTTTATTTTCTTAATTCATTGAACCTAATTGATTGAAGAGCTCAGGAAATAGCATGCAAATAAATAAGTGAATGTTTTTTAAGTAGAATACTTGTATTTATAAGAAAATAATTTTCAAAAAAATTTAATTTTTCATAACCAATCGATTAATTGATGAAACTTTCCATGTTTTTTATCGCTTTTATTTGTAACTAACGTTACTGCAGTTTCGTCCTTTAAGGACATTTTCAAACTAATACATTATATAAGGACTTTTTCAAACTTATACAATCTGTTTAAAAAAATCTGATTTTCTGTTAATGAGCTGTCGCCCCCCTACGAACGACAACTCTCAGAAGTTGAGAAACTTGTGCGAGCTAAGTACTAACGAGGTCTTACCTTTCAACGTGTGATTCCTAACAATATACAAGGACATTTTCAAACTTACCCAATATATGAGTTTGAAAATGACCTTATAGTACGAAACTGCAGTAACATTAGTTACAAATAAAAGTGGTGAAAAACATAGAAAGTTTTATTTCTCTTTTCTTCATTATGATTTCCTACAACGTAGTAACGGCTACATCCATCAATTAATTGATTAATTAATCATCATCTACATCACGAACGAGTCTCTGTGATCAGCTGTGATAGCGTCATGGCAACAGAATTCAGAGTGGGGACGGAGTGAGAGAGTAATAGATAGAGAAACAGTGAATAGAGAATAGAGGAATAGAAACTCGGAGGGGGAAATAAAGATATCACACAGCTGCACGCATTAAACTTTATCGACGAATTTTTGTTATTTCGGCTTGCGAAAATCGTCAGATTATATATTTTTCGTTATCTTTGAATTATTTCCTTCAAAATAAAAAAAAATTTGCTACGCTCGAGAATGTCGAAATGACGTGATTTTTTTTACAACGTTGCTGCCCTCCCCTTCCTTTACGTCATTCTCAAATTGTCAGATTACTGGAATATACACTTTTTAGCACGTAATTAACCCACTTAATCTGACGTGCTCCCTGGATAAGTAGGTGTACAGATTTTTTATTCAGCTGTGGAGTTCGATGAAAATGAAGTTAACTTTTCTGCTCCGAAAGGAATATGTTTGTGACAAATTGGCATCAAAATCTCTTTAAAGCATCATCTCGAGGTTATCAATATTCATTTTTAAAGCATCCTCGTTGTTCATTTCATGAATAAAGATGAATTCACCAGCTGTTCCATTGATGGGATATCTTCAGATCGTACGGTCTGACTCATTCGGGTGAATATTAATGTGGATCTCACGCACCTGTTCAACAATCAACAAACACAATGACTGTAAAGTATTACGGGTATTTCTGGAACAAAAGAAAGGCAGTTTTCAAATTTAGTGTGATATATTCCGAAAGGAACTATCAACATATGAATTGAAGGACTGAAAGTTATAAATGTTTTGAATTAAATAGTCTTGTTTTGTCTAATGCCTGCCAGAAACTCCTGCTGGTTGATACCATGACGGATATTACACTCGAAGAAGTTATTTTATTATCTGATTCATGTCTCCTCGACACTTGAGTAATATGAGAAAGTACGAAAATCTGTCTATGCGAAGACGCATTTTTATGAAACCCCAATTGGTGGATACAGATTGTAACCCTTTGAAATGGTATCACGGAGTCTTTCGTTCTATGTTTCGTTTCAAACGGGGTGATGTGAATTTAAGGGATATTAATTTTAGATGTATGAAATGTTCATTAGCTGAATGTATGCATTAGTTCAGTGTATTCATGCCCTGCATGGGCTGGAAAGTCTCAGGTCTAACACATAGATGGCGCTAAAATTATTGCATTTACCGCTTTTTCAGTAATATCTGTATCTGTGAAGTAGAGAGGGTGAATGTACGCCCACTGCACTTAGGCCACATGTGACCCATTGTACATCCTCCCAAGGTGTTATCCTCCTAGGTCATCGTCCATCCTGTCTTTTCCAGGAAGGTGGATAGGTCACTAGGAGACATCTCCTAGGCAGGTGAAGGCCAAGACTAGCCGAATTCACTCTCTCCTATTGACGATAACTCCAGACACTCGCATAACATGCCTGACAGTTTCATCTTCCTGTTCACACATCCTGCATCGAGCTGTGTCCACTAGCCCCATATTATGGGGGTGTTCCTTTAGTTGACAGTGGCCAGTAAGAAATAATACTGTTAAGCGTAGATTTTTCCTAGTCATCGCCATCAGGAAATGTTGTTATCTAACGAGGCTTTGGCTAAATTTTGGTGGCACTCTAGTTCTAGCCCTGAGGTAACACGTTGTATGTTCAAGGCTAATAGGGCTTTTCTACTATTAGTACAGATTGTTAGGTTTTTGCCAGAAATTCCTTTGCTGGTTATTTCTTCTGTGGCGATTGAGATACCAGCCAGTTCTGTTTGAACCACGCTGGTATTGTTTTCCATTCCACACTTAATTCTTAGGCTTAGTGATCTGGAGTATACTCCACATCCTGAGCCTTCTCTGGTCTGTATATATGCGTACTGCATTTGCAACATCTAACTCTATGTTCTGTTTTTTTGTATTTTGTAGGGTAGTTGATAAGCCCATGTAACGTGAAATAGCAAGTAGAAAAAGAAAAAAGGCCCTAAAAAGAAAAACATGTACATGAAAAGTTTGAACGGGTTCACCTTAATTTGAATGTAATACATGCCAAGGCTGACAAAACCTACCTTGAGTAGTAATTATTCAATGTGAATTTAGCAAGCATTTCCGTGACTGGTTTTTTGTCAATATTCATGTAATCCTTGAATAGTAGCATACGGAGTAGGTTCAATATGGATCCAGAATTATACTCAAGAAACAATAGTGTTCAAACAAATGAAAATTGTCACATCATTAGCAAATACTTGAACATAGACACATGGAAAGAGGGAGAATCTGTCCTCGAAATAGGCATGGGTAATGGAAAATTCACCATGGAAACGTTCCTTCCAAAGTTGGGCAATAAAATCCATAGATACGTGGGATCCGATATTTCTGAGAAGATGGTAGAATATGCTGAGAGGAAGTTCCATCAAAAACAAAACCCGAATATTGAATTCATGAAACTAGATCCACAACTGAATGAAATTTCTAGCAGTTTAATCGAACAGTTTGATCATGTCGTGTCATTCAATTGTTTCCACTTCTTCTCTGATGCTAGGTAAGTAGAAATAACAAAAATAATAGGTGTCAACAAACTCTTATAGTTCCATTTCAGGCTATTTCAGAAGTGTTGTCCATTTTAGTGTCATGTGTTTTTTGTGGCTCCATATTTCAATAGATTTTTAGTCTACTGTTTCGTGATATATACTTATCGTAAGAACATTTTGAACTCGATACATTGATGCTGTTCATTTCTTCAAGTTTCACTTTTTTGCTTTTTGCTCAGTTCATTACTATATGATGTCGTTGAAAGATTTTCGTACAATGTTTCTCTGTGTATTCAAATTGAACCAAAGCGCTGCCGAAACAGTCCCAATAATAAATCAAGCATCTAGCAATGATAATAATAGTGAACGAACTGTTCGACATTTGAGAATCTGTTGGAGACTGACCCACTAGAAACGGTGTGTGAAATGGTGGAAGAACTGGGTATCAGCTCCCATGCGAATCTGTATCTGTAGAGTAGGGAGGGTGAGTGTAGGCCCACAGCACTTAGGCCACATGTGACCTATTGTACATCCTTCCAAGGAGGTGTCCTCCTAGGTCATCATCCACCCTGTCCTCTCCAGGAAGGTTGACTCGCCGAAGACACACTCTCTCATCGACGATAACTCCGGGCACTCGCATAGAACATGCCTGCCAGTCTCATCTTCTGTTCACACATCCTGCATAGAGGTGTGTCCACTAGCTCCATATTATGGAGGTGTTTCCTTATTTGAAAGTGGCCAGTCAGAAATCATACTGTCAAGCGTATATTTTTCCTGGTCATCGCCGGATATTTCTTCGGCGCCAGCTTCCTAGGATCGCCAAGGGTGATCCTGGCAAGATTGCATCCTTTGATTTCATCCCATCTCTTTAGGGATTGAGCATGGGTGTAGGGCTGTAGGTGCCACTGGGTCCTAAAATTCTTAGCCAAGCCGCTTCTTTGGCTGAAGAGTCGGCAATGCGATTATCTTTATTTTTGCCGTGCCCTTGAATCCACCTCAGGATATTGTTATTATCTACCGTGGCTTTGGCTAAATCTTGGTGGCACTCTAGTACACGTTAACACGTTGTCTGTTCAAGGCTAATAGGGTTTGTCTGCTATCAGTGAAGATTGTTATGTGTTTGCCAGAAATTCCTTTTCTGGTTATTTCTGGTTATACCACGCTGGTATTTTTTCCCATTTCCCATTTAATCCTTAGGCTTCGTGATCTGGACTACATTCCACATTCTGAGCCTTCTTTGGTTTTTGAGCCATCTGCATATATGCGTATTGCATTTGTAGCATCTGAGTCTGTGTTCTGTTTTATTTGTTTTTTGTAGGGTTTATTGAACACAAACCTGGTTTCCATTGCATCCCTGATTGCCTGCAGCAGAGGTTGCGCAGTAAGCGCTTCTCGCCATAGGCTTAGCCTCAATTGACCCATTCCTACTTCTAGGTTCATACCATCCGTGCGCAATCGTAACATGGTCATTAACGCAACCTCTTTAACGTACAGGTCCAGAGGGGTCAGATCAGTAATCAATTCCATGACCGCGGTTGGTGTTTTTCTCATGGCTTCTGTGATGTTTAAACAAGAGAATCGCTGAATTTGATATGATTTTTGGATGGCCGTTGCTTCTAGAACTTTCGGTTCCCATGCAATGGCTCCGTACGTTAACGTCGGTCTTATTATTGCAGTGTAGATCCAGGTGACCACACGGGGTGAAAGACCCCATGCACATTCCACTGTTCTCCGGCATTGCTCATAAGCCACATATGCTCTTTTTGCTCTACTCTATTGGTAAGAGTTTCATGTTAGCTTCCTGTCGAGGATAGTACCAAGGTATTTCACCTCTTCAGACAAGTTTAGTTTGCTTTTAAACATTTTGAGAGGTTTTGAGCTCGATACATTTCTTTTCTAGGTGAAAAGGACCATCTCAGTCTTCTTGGGATTGATCGACAGTGAGTGTTCCTTACACCATGTTTCTATCAATTTGAGCCCATCCTGCGCTCTATCGCACAGAGTGTTCACAAATTTGCCTGTCTGCATGATAACTATGTCATCTGCATATGCAATTGTGCAGAATCCATTATTGTTGAGGGGATTAATTAGGGTATCCTCCTATGCGGTTTTCGTTGCTTTGGAAAGGTCGGAAAGCTCGAAAAGAAACGACAGAAATTATCACGTTTCAAAGTATGTTCTTATTTGCTTTTGCGCAACCAAAATTATCCTTTTTCGGATCGGATCGTCATGTGTGATGAAAAGCAGACCATCTGCGATACCAGGAGATGTTCAGGACAGTGGTTGGACACCGCTGAGCCACCCGGGCACCACACAAAGGCAAGCATCCATAAAAAATACTATGATTTTTGTATGGTGGTCAGCGGGTGTTGTGATTGACTATAACTTTCTACAACCGAAGCAAACCATCACAGCTGAGTCTTATTGTGAGGAAATCGATGAGACGTACCAAAAATTGCGTATGCAGGCACTGGCCAAGAAAATGATTAGAAAACGTGAGTTTTCGATCAAACAAAATCCCCAGCTCCTTTGATTCTGTGATCTGCGTCAAACTTTCACCATCTAGTTCATAGTTGAATGTTACCGGTTTTGTCATTTATAAATAGTATGAATAATAACGGTCCAAGATTAGACCATCGTGGGACACGCGAACTCGCTACAAAGCAGCAGAAGTTTATACCATCACATTCAACATAACTACGTCGGTCGGATAAATATGGTTTCAGAAGCAACTGAATAATAGATGATATGCCAAAATTCGACAGTGTCTTTAGCAGCTGTTGATGTGATACTTGATCAAATGCCTTGCTGAAGGCCGTGTAGATGACGTCAACTTGACGCTTATTGTTAAGTACATCAGATACAAATTGAGAGAAAACACAGAGATTAGTTTCAGTACTACGAGCCTTGATAAAGCCACGTTGAAAAATTGACAGTGAAGAAAGGACCTGGTTATGAATCTGTTTGAAAAAAAACTGTTTAAAATCTGTTTTTCCGTTAAGCAGCTGTCGCCCCTATACGAACGACAACTCTCAGAAGTTGAGAAACTTGTGCGAGCTAAGGACTAACGAGGTCTTACCTTTCAACGTGTGATTCCTAACATCTATAATTTCCAGTATTTTGGAAACAACTGTAATTTTCACTGTGAGTAAATTATTTCTTAAACGCAATCAAAGATTTATTTAAAAAACCATATATCGAATATACTTGCATTAAATACTATAAAAAGTAAAATAATTTCTCCTAGTGTCGATACAGATAATGAGTGGTTGCAATCGTTTTGAAAATACTCGTGATATTCAGAACGGCAAAAGTGGGATACATGCAGAGCTGTCATTGAGAAAGCTAACAACAGTTCATATATCATTTTTAGTGCAATATAATAGTTACAGAATATTCCTAACTCTTTCACACTCATTCCAATTTTCTAAGAAGTATTTCACCGATCAATGGTATGGTATGGTATATTGTAATCATCAAACTTTCGATTATTATTTTATTCACACACTGGCACCAATCTTAGGTATCTTTAGGAAAATCGTTTAGGAACGATAGTTGTTGCTGACCGATGTTTCACCCATTTCTAGTCTCCATGAGCCTGACAGATCAACTACTCCCCCTTCTAGTGCCATGACAGGTATTGAATTATATAAAAAAAATCTCTGTGCAATGAAGAAGACCGGCTGGGTTGGACAACCATACAACTTTTTTTCATTCGTTTGAAACTCTCCGACACGCTTTCCGAACTTTGTTTAATTTTATAACTTTTATATTATTTATACAGTATCCAGTTCTGAGCTATGTTTGAAGGTGCAAATTCCTTTAGCTTTCGATAACTTATTTTCAAATCGATTGCAAAATTTGAACCAAGCAGATAAGGAACGAGTAAAAACTTGAAACAATTTGATGAAAGAATTTAAAAATTTGTTTTACTGTCGAGCAGTTTATATCTGTTATTCACTTGTTGAGCAGTGTATGAAATGTCAAACGCTGACAAATTCACGCGTGGCGCATAACTATGGATGCGAGTAGTTCTAAAAAATAAAACTGTGAGACACAAACATCAAACGTTCCGGTAAGAATGAAACTACTGGGTCTTTCATCATTATACTGTGACACAGTTTTATAACAGACCCTCAGAACTACAATCAATACATTCAAGGGCGTCGCCAGCTTATGACTAAGGGGGAGCAATGGGGCAGTATTATGGAGGATAAAAAATATGAACGCCTTGTACAGTCGAAAGCATGAAGCGTTACATTTTGCAAGTCTTTGCCTCGATGACGATTGAACGGTTCTGATATCAATGTATAAAACTACTCAAGCCCTCGACAGCATAATAACTAAATCAAACTTTTAAACACAGTAATAATTATTTGTTTTAACAAAAATAATATTTAATTTAAACATGACCTGCGGGGATTTTTAGCAAAACGTTCAACCACTTTATTTAGGTTTTCATTTATTATAGCTCTGTGAACACTCATCATGGCCAGACCATTAAGGCAATCTTCTGCCATGGTGCTTCTCAGCCATCTTTTCAGTCTTCTGAGGCTGCTAAAGGATCGCTCTACTGTATAGGTCGTGCATGGTAAAGCGATCAAAATTTTAAATACTTTTTCCGTTTCGGGAAAGAAGGAATTTGTTTCTTTTAGGGCATCAACGACTGTTAGATTTGTTAGATTAAGCCTATCGTGCCACAATTGGTGCCAAAGTTCGATTTCATTCTTTATGTTCGGTAAATCATAAAACTGTGGAATAGATTCACAAGTTTGCTTCAGATTTTCAGTTGTCATCTTTTGCATCTACACCGGGTGTAACTTAGATAATGTGAATGATGACGTGTTGTCTTCAGCAAAACGTACTCCAAGGGAGGTGATAATTGAATCAAAGTATGGTATTACTGAAGACCTCTTCCAGTGGTCTTAAAGGCATTCTGCTGGATGATTGCTTCTATGACGTTGTTTCCCCGTAATACGCGACATTGATGTAATGTCCTCCTGCAGTCCGACTTCCTCCGCAACAGCAGTAGCTTCCTTTATAATTTCGTCTGTCACTTTTTCCGGGTTTTCACGATGGACCACGTCCAAAGCTACAGATTGGAGTACGTTGACAACGGGTTCCATCAAAGCCGAGTATTTGGCTACCAACATAATCTCGAGAATGAAAGAAATTCTGGAACAGCCGCATGCAGTTGGAAGGCACTTTTCCGAGTTGCACTATTTCCTTCCTGAGATAATGTTTGTAAGGCTTCCAGAATTATTGGAAGATTTTCTTTAAAAACTCTGATGGTTTTATGTTGTCACTCTATCTTGGACCGCAAAGTCTGGAAATATTAGGTATCAACTCCCTCCTCAAAACTGATTCCCGAAAAAGGTTTATAGTATCTTTGGTGGTTCCCATAGCATTTCTAATTTCAAGAAGAGAATTTAGATCATTGTTCGTAACAATAACTTCTACTTTAGGTATGCCGCATACAAATTATACAAACCTAAGGTGAATGCTGGTAAACGGCTGTCGTAGAAAGAAATGCAATGCACACAACACACACCATACCTACCTTCTACCTAAATATTTTTACACTGTCTCCCTGCCCCCCGTTGGCGACGCCCTTGATTACATTATAAGTTCCACAGCCTATGCCAATTTCTTGCAATAGGCAGCATGTACTACTGGTTGCCTAAAGATCAGTAGTAAAACAATTATAATTTAACTAAATATTATACGGTGCATCCTTGGGAGAGTAATTTCCATGATGTATACGCCACTGATTATATTGTTTATGAGTCATGATAATAAATTATAATATTTTCCGGACGAATGAATATTATAATTATGAAGTTTCGAAAATCCTCACGTAATGGTAATTTTTCAGAACGGCATTGAAGAACATATTTAGCATGCTGAAACCAGGAGGAGAAATTATTGCTTCATTACTAGAAAAAAATACAGAAGACGACATCTTCCATAATTTCTCCAAGCACCCCAGATGGGGAGGGTATGGCCATGAGAAGTACGTTTCGACTTTCTTCCTTAGCGACAATCCCCAGGAAGAATGGAAGAAAACTTTCATTGATGCAGGATTCAAGGATATTAAGATATTTTGTGAAGATCGAATAGTGACCTTTCCTGATGAGAGAAAGTTCGACGGTATGTTTTTCAGGACTTTAATTGATCGAAAGTTATTTCTCGGAAAAACAACAAATTGTTCTATTGGGTAGAAGTTTGAAACCCAAATAATTATGATCCAAACAATTCCTCAAGGAACAGTTTCAGGACCTGCTCGGTTTCTGATATACATTGTCAGATATCAAATACCAACGCTGATGACACTGTCTTTATAGTTAATGGATATTTATGTGAAAGAAAAGTCTTGGAAGCTGAGATGGAAACTTCTACATGTAGTGAAAAATAATTCAGACTTTGATGCGATGAAGTCATTCAACTAAAACTTATTCTCAACTGATATCAAGAAAGAGTCCATTGAAAAAAACACATATCTATTTTCTACATGTAATGCTGCTACACAAAGCTTTCGCAAAAATATACTTTTTAGGAAATCAAGCTATCAAAAACAAATCTTTTGCTATCTTATTAAACCTGATTCTATACTTACTGCAAGTAATGAACTTATTATAGGATGAAAACACATTGCCTTCTCACTGAATATGTATTACTAATTCAAGTTACTTCTGAAACAGATATGTCTCACAAATATAGACTTTCAAAAAGATATTTTCCCATGAGTTTGACAATAATTGACTACAATCAAACCCAACTTTATTTTACTGCTACACAGACAATACAACACAAACCCTTCAACTGGAACTTCGGACTTATACTCAACTGTCTAATCACCTTGTTGGATCACTTCGTTTCGCACTTTCAACTATACTCTTGGTCTGCCGATTGGTAGTGTTTATATGTGGTAATGGAAGTCTTTGGAAGCTAATAGGGAATCCCTGAAAGTTTCTCGAAGCGACGACGATGTTCCCTTCCTGAAGGGAGGGAACATCGAAAAGGGGTTCCCTCCGTGAAGGTGCACAAGTGAGGGAGCTTTCCTGCAGGGGCAAACGGTTCCTTGCCTTCATCCAAGGCGGAGCTCTTGGCGCCCGCCGCAGGAAATGCCATTGCTATTGGAGGTGGAGTGGGGGAGGAGGAGAGAGGCTTCCCGGACAGGGCCTCCAGTCCCCTGGCCGTTCCCCTAGCCGCCACCTGGGGACGTTCCGATAGGTAGCCCAACCCACGGGATCTAGGAGTTTTACTACGTCCTATATTACAATACAGAAAATATTCACAATCCCAGAGCAATCCTAACTCAGAAAAACTATTTTCTAATCTCCAATTATAATTTGTCAATTGTAATAACAATTCATACTTGTTCTAGATTTTTTTCTTGCTCTGGATCCAGCATTGTCTGACATTCCGATGCACGACAAAAAAGCTTATATACGGGATTTTCTTCAAGAAGTGAAACGTGGAACAGCAATTTCTATTGAACAGAACATGAAAACTGGGCAACGTAGTTTTGTGATGCAATACAGGATTATGGTTTTTATAGCCTCCAAGACACTTACATGAATGTTGCATTAAAAAATTTATAAAAAATATCAATATATTCCAGTAAAATATTTTTGCTGCACTGTAGCTATAAATAAATAATTTGTTTTCAAAAATAGTGTTATTTTGGCTTTCACTTTTCCAATTATCTATAAAAATGAAGAAATGGAAACCATAAAGTTTTTATTTAAAAAACTGATCTTACAAAAAATAAGCGTCTACCAATAAAATCAAGATTCCTATGGCTGGAATTGATATTTTCGAGAACGGTGCTGATGTGGTGACTTGCTTTGAAACTTTCTCTATTGAGGATAGAATTCCATGTAAGTATACAGGGTGTTTTGTAACTTAGGTACTACGTTAGGGCGTTTTAAGAAAAACATTCCAATATGTCCGGAGTTGCTATGTTTCTGAGATACAGGTCGTTGAAGTTAAAAAAAAAACGGTATTTATAAAATGTCATGAATATCCTCACACCGATTTGAATTAAATCTGCTACTGTTATTTGAAGTCATAGTGGAGTCTCAATAAGCACCACAGCCAATATTAGGAAAAAATGTACGCCACTGACTTGTTGTTGTAGTTTTTAATTTTATTAGATTAATCCACTGAGAATACAACCAGCTGACAGTGATAGTGTTGTCAAATCGGTAAAAGTCAGAGTTGTCAATTAGCAGTTATTCCTTCATGAATAATTTCATTAACGTTGGAATGGCATGCACTTCATTTATGAATTAACAAATGGAAATGCGGAAGAAGCATGGACAATCCGCCAGGATAGATATCTTAATGGTGTAATTCTATGTGCTAAAACATTTAGAAAGATACATACAAGGTTATGTGAAACTTAGAGTTTCAATAAAAATGCAGGTGGTGGAAGACCAGAAACTGTAACAACGGCTGAACCAGAAGACGCTATAGTTGATGCGATCATCTTCAAAGAGAAAGATTTAATCTTCCCCTTTGAAGATGATCACTTGGTGATCGAAACACGTGTCGAGGTGTTAAAAATAACGATTTGGTGTTGGGAAAAGACTCCAGTAATATTCATTACCACACCAAAGGTTCAAAACAGTGCATCATAAGTCTCTAACAATCGTATCGAAGCAGAGAGCGGAATTGTCAATTCTGACCTTATTATATCCGGTTCAGAGACATTTATCTTTTTGGAGAAAACCGATGCCTGGGTTTTTGTGGCATTTGGTTACTTTCACCCCAATTCAAAATCACCTCATTAAGATATCCAACCTTCTGCTGCCGATGAAGATATACATCTGCAACCGATGTCCTGGAATCCAAATGGAATGACGAGACAACTGTGTCGTCATCGACGACCACTTGCAGTGAACGTTCTTTAAGGAAGCTGAAGAAACCATACACAAAAATGATCCGACAAGCGATAGCATCGAAGTTTTGTCAGGAAACTCTCATGCCACACACGGTCAAAGGCCTTAGAAATATCAATATGCATGAAATGCATATGCAATTCAATTGAAGCTCGATATTGTATCCGTCTAAATATCTCACACATTACCACATAATATGTGACTATTGAAAAGGTGAAGCAACGTTCAGACACAAACTGGAACATAACTTTGAAAAAGCGATAAAGAGTTCCCATTTGAAATTAGTACACTTGACGATATTTCTAATGATGAAGATAATAAACACGAGCATGGATTTCAACTAGAGCTGTTGACAGTTATCTTTTGCAGTTCAACCGACTTGGTGAGTGAAAACACAAATTAATTACAAATTAAATGTAGATTGATGTTACTTCAGAATGGAAGGTGTAGTAATTGGTAACTAGTTGGGAATAATTATAACAAAACTCAGATTTCAAAAATATTCTCCAAAACTTTTTATGGAGCCAGCAATAGCCTTTTTATAAGAAATAGATTGATCGATGTAACCCTCAGCTACTGTTGAAGACTTCTATCCTGCGTGCTCCTTGATATCCGTTATATTTGCTCCTGATTCTGCTAGCAAAGCAGAAGAAGACCTTCTGAAACAGTGACCTATATATTCCTTTGTTTCCGGGAGGTTCATTTTCTCAAACGTGTTTATACAAACTGGGTTGGCACTGCAATAGTAACTTGAGTATTTCAGAAAAAACGTTGATGATTGATAACAGAAAGGCGTAATGCAACATATTTATTAAAATAGTCAATGTTTTTTCCAACAATGCAAACAGAACGACCCATTTCCGTTTTTGTATTTGGAATTTGAACAATCAATGATTCATCCAATAATGTAATGTCTTCTATTAATAAATGGCACAGCTCTTCATACCGTCAGGCTCCATATAGGTATTACGAAAATAGTAGCAACTTTTATCATCAAATATTTTTATCTGGCGCCTCATTCATAAACCTCTGGACTTGTTCAAACATAAAAGTTATTGATTTTTTGGGCCTAAAACTTTCATTTTTCCACTTCAAGAATGCTATTACCTTGAAATACTTGCTTGAATTAACAACATTTTCAAAAGCTTTTATTTAACTTGACTTGTATGTATGTTAACAAATCTTGCAAGTTTAATTTGACCCACTTCCCGGTATCCGATTGACCTGAAATTTTGCATGCTGGTTCAGAACCGATGACAATGCATGATAATCATAAACGTGGCCTGATGCTGCTGCCAGGATCGGCTCCGTACGAGAGATCTCCACAGCGTTGAATAGCAGGGACACGAAATTTTGTATGCGCATTCGTTTATGATAGGCAGTTGGTAGGCCCACCATGAAATAGATGCTACATCCAGGGTTGGCTTCAAACTAATGAATGACCAACTAGATTTGAATAGATCACCATTATTGAACTTGTTTTCTTAAAAATCCGAAGAAGAATTATTATTGATGAAGATGTGAGGTAATATGCTTCAGATAATCATAATAGAACAGGTATCTTAAGTAGAGATTTATGTTATTTTTTTGAGGTACTTTCAATTGTGGTTACCTGTAGTGAGATGAGATCGTGAGGTGTAGTTTTTCAAAATATAACGAAAATAGTACGAACCTTCCTCTCATATGATCATTCCTGAATGACTTACACTGTAAGTCATTTTCCAGATCGTTGCCATGAAAAGTGAGACAAACAAACATAAAATGTGGTGCCTATTATTTTAATAATGCCAAGTGGAACTATGTCGCATTTTATCATTCAAATTTCACTATCAGATACATTCTATATCTATATAAATAAATAATGCATTTCCGTGACTGGTTTTTTGTCAATATTCATGTAATCCTTGAATAGTAGCATACGGAGTAGGTTCAATATGGATCCAGAATTATACTCAAGAAACAATAGTGTTCAAACAAATGAAAATTGTCACATCATTAGCAAATACTTGAACATGGACACATGGAAAGAAGGAGAATCTGTCCTCGAAATAGGCATGGGCAATGGAAAATTCTCCATGGAAACGTTCCTTCCAAAGTTGGGCAATAAAATCCATAGATACGTTGGATCCGATATTTCTGAGAAGATGGTAGAATATGCTAAGAGGAAATACCATCAAAAACAATATCTGACTATTGAATTCATGATATTAGATCCACAGATGAATAATATTTCTAGCAGTTTATTCGAACAGTTTGATCATGTCGTGTCATTCAATTGTTTCCACTTCTTCTCTGATGCTAGGTAAGTTTGAATAACAAAAACAAACCCTTTATTTAAGGTTGTTTCAGAAGTGTTTTCCATTTTAGTGTCATGTGTTTTTGTGGCTCCATATCTCAATAGATTTTTAGTCTACTGTGTCGTAATATATACTTATCGAAAAAAAATTTTGTACTCGATTTGATGCTTTTCATTTTTTCAAGTTTCACTTCTTTGCTTTTTGCTCAGTTCATTACTATATGATGTCGTTGAAAGATTTTCGTACAATGTTTCTCTGCGTATTCAAATTGAACCAAAGCGCTGCCGAAACAGTCCGAATAATTAATCAAGCATCTGGCAGTGATAATAATAGTGAAGGCACTGTTCGACATTGGTTTGCGAAATTTAATTTCAGAGATTTTAGCCTCGAAGAGGCTTGGGGAATTTGGGAACCTTTTGGAGACTGACCCACTATAAACGGTGCATGAAATGGTGGAAGAACAGCTCCTATGCGAATATATATCTGTAGAGTAGGGAGGGTGAGTGTAGGCCCACAGTACTTAGGCCACATGTGACCTATTGTACATCCTTCCAAGGAGGTGTCCTCCTAGGTCATCATCCACCCTGTCCTTTCCAGGAAGGTGGACTCGCCGAAGACACACTCTCTTATCGACGATAACTCCGGGCACTCGCATAGAACATGCCTGCCAGTCTCATCTTCTGTTCACACATCCTGCATAGAGGTGTGTCCACTAGCCCCATATTATGGAGGTGTTTTCTTATTTGACAGTGGCCAGTCAGAAATCCTACTGTCAAACGTATATTTTTCCTGGTCATCGCCGGATATTTCTTCGGCGCCAGCTTCCTAGGATCGCCAAGGGTGATCCTGGCAAGATTGCATCCTTTGATTTCATCCCATCTCTTTAGGGATTGAGCATGGGTGTAGGGCTGTAGGT